GCCGCCTCCTGCCCCGCCTCTCCCAGCCCCCTGGCCACCTGGCGCGCCGTTTGGCGGTCATGCCGCAATGCCCTTGTCGCTGCCAGCCATCTGGCTGCGTTGCTCCTGCCTCCACACGGCTCAGTGCTGTGCCTACTCTTCGGCGCGCCGCGGCACCTCTGCCGTTCGTGGTGTCCCACTGCGCCCGCCCGCAAGCTCCAGCTGCTGGCGGCCGCCCTTCCGCCACCCTGGCCACCCTGGTTTCACGGCCGCCCACCGCGCTCTGGTCCTGCGCGCCTGGCTGCTGCTGTCCCCCCCCCCCCCCGGCTGCTCATCGTCGAATTCTTCGTCGTCGGAGCGTCCGTTCTTCCTCTCGGCCGTCCCCCCCCTCTTTGCCCTCCAGCCAATTCGCTAGTTAGTGCCCTGTCTAGCTTCTCGCAGGAGCGGAATTCGCCGCTTCGCCGCTGACGGGATGTATGCGTGTATGTATGTATATACGCATGCATGCATGCATGTATCACCACCCACCAAACCACCCCAACCCAACCCGAAGGCCCAAATTTATCCTCGATTTCCAGTGGGGGGGGGGTCGGGGAACGTTGAAAAAACACATGGTATCCGTACCCGCCCCAACCCGAAATTCGGGTCAAATTCGGGTTGGGTTGGGGTGGTCTGGTAGGTAGTCAATGTATGTATGTGTGTATGCATGTATGCATATGTTTATGTCTAGTTATCTGTACATGTATGCAGGTATGGTTGTATGTATGTATGTACGTATGTATGTATGTATGCAATGTATGTATGTGTGCCTGCATGTATGTATGTACGTATGTATGTACGTAAGTATGCATGCATGCATGCATGAGTCTATGAAGGGCTGCATGTATGTATGTATGCATGCATGTATGCATGCATGCATGTATGCAAGTATGTATGTATGTATGCATGCATGCATGCATGAATGCATGCATGTATATATGTATGTATGTGTGTATGTATGTATGTATGTATGTATGTATGTATGTATGTATGTATGTATAGATGTATAGATGTATGTATGTATATATGTATGTATGTATGTATGTATGTATGTATGTATGAATGTATGTATGTATGCATGTATGTATGTATCTATGTATGTATGTATGTATGTATGTATGTATGTATGTATGTATGTATGTATGTATGTATGTATGTATGTATGTACGTACGTATGTATGTATGTATGTATGTATGTATGCATGTATGTATGTATGTATGTATGTATGTATGTATGTATGTATGTATGTATGTATGTATGTATGTATGTATGTATGTATGTATGTATGTGTATACATGTATGTATGCATGCATGCATGCATGTATGTATATATGTACATAGGTATGCCCCAGAGGCGGCCATGGCGTGCTCAAGAGGCGGCCAAGACGTGTCCACGGAACCCCAAGAGGCGCCCAAATCGGTCCAAGACGGCCCCAGGGCTCTCAAAGATCGCCCGTGGACACCCAAGATGGCTCCCACAGAGCCCAAGAGGCCGCTACGACGCCCCAGGAAGCTTTCCAAGGGAGCCCCAAACGGCCAAAAACATTGATTTTTGCAAGTGAAAGCGTACATTTGTAGCATCTACGACTTCGGTCTTCACGGCGTGCACGACGGTACAAGAGGCCCTAAGGACGGCCCCAAGAGGCTACCAACGCGGCCCAAGACAGCCCGAGGGTCGCCAAGGCGTGGCCAGAGGGCCCCATGAGGCTCCCAAAACGTTCCATGGCGGCCCCGGAGCGCTCAAGGCTAGCCCTTGGACGTCCAAGACGGTTCTCACCGTGCCCAAGGGACCGCGAAAACGCCCCAAGAGGCCCCCAAGAGGCTTTCCAAGAGGGTCCCAAGAGGCCCAAATCATTGATTTTGCATGGGAAAACGTATATTCTTAACATTTACGATTTGTCGGTCTTCACAGCGGTGACGACGGTGCAAGAGGCCCCCAATATAGTTCCAGAGCGGCCCAAGAGGCTCCAAAGATGTCCCGAGAGGGGGCCAAGACACCCCAAGAGGTCCCCAATACGACCTAGGAGAGCTCAAAGACGGCTCCAAGAGGAGCCCAAGAGGGGGAGCCCGAACCGAAAATCCGACCCTTCCGCCCCAAGAAGGCCCCAAGAGGCCCCTGGAGGCCCTTAAGAGGTTCCAAGAGGCCCCCAAGAGATCCCCCCAAAAGACCAGAACCCAGCGAGGGGTTATGGAGGATAATATTCTGATGCGCCAAGAGACCCACAAGGGGTCGGCGAGCTCAGGCCAGCTCGGTGCAAGTGTGAGCGGCATGCGTCGTTGCATCTCGCGGTGAACGTCGGTGCCGGAAGCACATCCAAAATCCGGGATCTTCCTCCTCCCTCCGTCCGTCCCTTCCCTCCTCTTCTCCCCCACTCCCCCTCCCTCCTCCTCCTCCACGTCCCCTTTCTCTCTCCCCTTCCCTTCCTCCCCTCCCGTCCCACTTCCCTCCCTCTTTCCCTCCCCTCCCTCCCTCCCCTCCCTCCCGCCCCTCCCTCCCTTCCCATTCCGCTCCCTTCCTCCCTCCTCCCTTCCACGGGCCCTGCTGCCCTGCGCCGAAGTTGCAGGAACGGCCCACGGCAGTGCAAATTCGGCCTTGGCGGGCGGTAGGCCGTTTTATTGGGATCTTGGGTTTCGGTCCCGGGGGACCGTTTGGTTCCAGTCCGCCGGGGCTCGTCGGAGGCCGAACCAGGATGGAAAACGGCCTTCCAGCGGACGCCGCTCGGAATGCAGATTGGCATGTGTGGACTGTGGTCCACTACTTCAGTGGGGCAGTGAATTCGTCAGGGCCTGGGGCCAGAACCTGAGCGCGCGCGAAGGGCGCGCGATGGTTCTAGTATGTATATATGTATGCTTCTGTATATTTATCACGTATATACGTATGTTTGTGTATATGTATGTATGTATGCATGTATTTATGTATGTCTGTATGCATGCATGTATGTATGTATGCGTGTATGTATGTATGCATGCATGCATGCATGCATGCATGCATGTATGCATGTGTATATATGTATATATGTAGGTGTGCATGTGTGCGTGCATGTTTATACATACATGTAGGCATACATGCGCGCGCGTATACATATGCATTGATAAGTAACAATCAAACAGCGTGCTCTACTACTCCTGGCGGAAAACCCGGGGGGGGCACGGGGTTTCCAGCCCGCCCCCCCCCACCCCCTTCGAAAACCAGGGGGGGTCACTGCTGGTTCGAGCCCCCCCCCAGTTCACCATGAAAAGGAGGGGGTCACTGCTGGTTCGAGCCCCCCCCCGCGAAAACCGAGGCCGATGGGGGGGTCACCACCCGTTCGAACCCCTCCCCATTTCGCTGCCGGCAAACAATTCCCGCTCCTCGGGACAGTCGGACACTGGTGGGGGTGCTGGGACACTGGTGGGAACGGTGGTGGTGGGGACAGTGGTGCGGGGACAGCGGGACAGTGGTGGGGACAGTAGTGGGGTCGGTGGTGGTGGGGGCAGTGGTGAGGGGACAGCGGGACAGTGGTGGGTGCAGTAGGACAGTGAGGTGGACGGTAGTGGTGGGGACAGTGGTGAAGGCGGTGGTGAGGACAGTGGTGGGGCAGTAGTACAGTGGGGAAAGTGGTGGGGACAGTGGGGACAATGGGACAGTGATGGGGACAGTGGGGACGGTGGGACAGCAGTGGGACAGCGGCGGGGACAGTGGTGGTGGGTGCAATGGGGACAGTGGGACAGTAGTGGGGGCCGTGGAGAAAATGGGGAAAATGGGGCCGTGGTGGGACAAGGGTGGGGAGAGTGGGGACAGTGAGACACTTGTGGGGGCACTGGTGGGGACAGGGGGGACAATGGTAGGAACAGTGGGGACAGTGGGACAGTGGTGGGGACGGTGGTGGCGGGGACAATTTTGTGGAGACAGTGGGAATGTGGTGGAGACAGTGGGACAGTGGAGGGTACAGTGGTGGATGGGGTGGGGGACTCCAACCGGTAGTGGCCCCCCCCGGTTTTCGGGGGGTTCGAACCAGTAGTGACCCCCCCCGGTTTTCCGAAGGGGGGGGTTTCGAACTGGTAGTGACCCCCCCCTCGGTTTTTTGGAGGGGGGGGGTTCGAACCAGTAGTGCTCCCCCCCTCTGGTTTTCTGGGGGGGGGAGGAGTTCGAAGGTTTCCAGGTGTGTGTGTGTGTGTGTGTGGTTTGAACCGGTAGTGGTCCCCCCCCGGTTTTCCGGAGGGGGGGGTGGTTAGGGGGAAGGGGGGGGTTTTGCCAGGAGGAAGGGGAATGGGGGGTTCCAGGAGGGGGGGGGATTTTCGGAGGCGGGGGGGACCCCCAGGTTCCGGAGGAAGAGGGGGGGATATTCCATTGTAAAGCGGCGGTTGATCACGCGGTCTTTCTCTCTCTCTCTCTCTCCCTCTCTTTCTTATTTCTACATATACACGTGTACATGTACAAGTACGGCGCTCAGCACATGTGGAATGCACGGCGCGCCGCTCAAGCTTTTGTGGACGATTTAGAGTTTCGTTTTAGCCTTTTTGCGCTCTACATGCCACTGCTGTGGTCTCCTCCTGGCCGTGGTCGGCGGGTCCTGGCCCTTGCGGCTCCGTCCACCGGGTGCTACGGGCAGTTCTGCGCAGCTGCGTGCCGCCTGACTTCACCCTCGCTTGCACATAGTGCACGTCCTGACGCACGCTGTGCACGATATTTGCTCCGCTATGGCTGCTGCCGCCTCGCGCCAGTGCTGTGGGGAACGTCTTGGTTTCGAACGATATGTGTGTGTGTGTGTGTGTGCTTGTGCGTGCGGTCAAAGGAGCGCACTGAACCACGTGTAACTTGCGCGAACGTGCGTGCCGTTGAGTGTTTATGCTCGTTGATGCTTGCCTGTTTGTCATTCGAAGGGGCTGCCCGGCTTCGCCTGGTGCCGCTCTCGCTCGCAGAGTCGACGCCGATGTCGATCCCGCCCGGGCACCGCAGGACTTCATCGTGACGGGTAGCCGCGGGAAGGCGGCGGAGCTCATGAAGGTTCGGGTGGTCAAAATTAGCCCCCTTCAGCAGAGGTTGTCTTCCCCCCTTCCATCAACCTCTCCTCCCCGAGAGTGTTCGCAGGTGCGATGCGGCGTCCGTCGTGAGCTACGGGCCGCATCGTACTGTTTGGCGGCTGCACTGTTCCGCCCCCCAGAATTCCCCTGCGTTGCTCTCGATAGGCATGACGAGCAGCAGCAGACAAGCTCCCACGGGCCCGATCCGATTCGATGCCCCTCCTCGCCCCTTCCCTTCTCCTCTCGAAAGCTTGCAGACGGGTGTCCTCAGGGATTCCCGCCTGGCAGCCCGGCGCTTACCGCCAGGGATGGCTTCGCGGTCTCCCGAAAGCCGTTGGCGGCAACAGGGGCTGACAGCCCAGGGGGGGGCATCTCTCGTGTCCACGGGCTCCGATCGTTCATGTCTTCGGCGAGGCTCCCCGGCGAAAGCGCGTGATGCCCGCCTCTTGGCCCCTCCCAGGGCTCCGGCGTCGTTTTTTTTCTTTTCATTTCTTCTTCTTCTCATTTTTTTTCGCAACGTCGGCCCTCAGAGGTCTGGATCCGTTTCCCGGGATTGTTTTTCATCCTGGATCGTTTTTTTGACCGCCCCGAAGCCAGGTAGGGGCTCATGGAGGCGAAAATTGCCGAAAAACTCCCGTTGCATTTTTCCCATGTCCTGAGGTAGGAACGAGCGCGTTCTGTGGGCGGTTGGAGGGGGAGGGGGTTTGGAACCCGACCCCCCTGGATTGAACGGTGAGGGGTTTCGACCCCCCCGCTCCCCCTCCGTCTCCCGTAACGGAGAGGTGGGGGGGTTCGAACCCCCTCCCCCCTCTCCTCCCTCCTCCCCTACTTCTCCTTTCTCCCTCTCCTCGGGCCGGCGCTGGCGTCGGCGGCGCCAGCGTCTCTTGGGGCCTCGCTGAGGTAGTGGTGGTGGTGGTGGGTTGTGGTGGTGGTGGTGGTGGTGGCGGTGGTGGTGGTGGTGGTGGTGGTTGGTGGTGTGTTGGTGGTGGTTGTGGTGGTTGTGGTGGTGGCGGTGGTGGGTTTGGTGGTGGTGGTTCGGTGGTTTGTGGTAGTGGCGGTGGTAGTTGTGGTGGCGGGTTGTGGCGGTTTTGTTGGTGGCGGTGGTGGTGTGATGGTTTGTCGTGTTGGTTGTGGTGGTGGTAGTGGTTGTGGCGCGAGGTGGGTTGTGGCGGTGGTTGTAGTGGTGGTGGTGGTTTTGTTGTGGTTTTGTTGGTGGGTGGTGGTGAAGGTGGTGGTGGTGGTGGTGATGGTTGTGGTGGTGGTGTGGTGGTTTGTGGTGGTGGTGGTGGGTTGTGGTGGTGGTGGTGGTGGCGGTGGTGGTGGTTGTCGTGTGGTGGTTTGTTGTGGTAGTGGTGGTGGTGGTGGCGATGGTGGTTGTGGTGGCAGGTTGTGGTGGTGGTGGTGGAGGTGGTGGTTGTGGCAGTGGTGGTGGAGGTGGTTTGTGGTGGTTTGTGGTGGTGGTGGTGGTGGGGTTGTTGTGTGGTGGTTTGGGGTGGTGGTGGTGGTGGTGGTGTAGTGGTTTGTGGTGGTGGTGGTGCTGGGTTGTGGTGGTGACAGTGATGGTGGTGCTTGTGGCGGTGGTGGTGGTGGTGGTGATGGTGTTGTGGATTGTCGTGTTGGTTGTGGTGGTGGTAGTGGTGGTAGTGGTAGTGGTAGTGGTAGTGGTAGTGGTAGTGGTAGTGGTTGTGGTTGTGGTTGTGGTTGTGGTTGTGGTTGTGGTTGTTGTTGTTGTTGTTGTTGTTGTTGTTGTTGTTGTTGTTGTCGTCGTTGTTGTTGTTATTGCTGTTGTTGTTGTTCTTGTCGTGGTTGTGTGGTGGTTGTGTGGTTGTGTTGGTGGTGGTGGTTGTGTGGTGGTTGTGTGGTGGTTTGTGGTGTTGGTGGTGGTGAGTTATGGTGGTGGTGGTGGTGGTGGTTGTGGTGGTGGCGGTGGTGGTGGTGGTGGCGTGGTGGTTTGTGGTGGTGGTGGTGCTGGCGCTGGTGCTGGTGGTGGTGCTGGTGGTGGTGGTGGTGGGTGGTGGGTGGTGGTGGTGGTGGCGGCGGTTGTGGTTGTGGTGGTAGTGGTGGTGGTGGTGGTGGTGGTGGTGGTGGGTTGTGGTGGTGGTGGGTTGTGGTGGTGGTGGGTTGTGGTGGCAGTGGTGGTGGTTGTGTTGGTGGTGGTGTGGTGGTGTGGTGGTTTATGGTGCTTGTTGTGGTGGGTTGTGGTGGTGATCGTGGCGGTTATGGTGGTGATGCAGTGGTTTGTGGTGGTGGTGGTGGCTGTGATGGTGGTGGTGGTGGTGGCGGTGGTGGCGGTGGTGGTGTGGTGGTTTGTGGTGGCGGCGGGGTTGGTAGTGGTGGTGGTGTCGCCTTCGGGTGTTCCTGCCACCGTGTCTTGGCTTTGGGTCACAGTTCTAATGGATGCCTCTTGGGGTCTCGTGAGAGGGGTCTCGGGGGCGTCTGAGGAGCATGTGTGAGGGCTCCTGGGCGCCTCTTTGGCGTCTCCTGGAACTTCCTAAGGGCCCCCCGGTGGTTCTGGGGAGCGAGGGTTCGATATGGCGATTCGTATTTTCCCGCTGCGGCCTCTGGCCCCTCTCTCTGGTCATCGTCGCTGCGTTTTGCCGTTGGTGCTGCCGGCCGCCGCCAGCGCAGGCGCAAGCACCGGCACCGAGAGATGAGGCGGGGGGGTTCGAACCGCCCCTCCCCCAGGACGCCGGAAGAGAAAAGATTGAGGGAGTTAGAAACCCTTCTCCTTTCCCAGAGGGGGGGGGAGGAGTTTGGGGACGGGGGTGGTTTAGGGGGGAGGGGAGTCCCCGTGGTTCTGATTGACGGCGCCGAGAGTTAGGCCCCCCCCCGGTTCGAAACGCGCCGCCGAATGCTCCCGAGGCCAGCGCCCGTGAAACGCGTTCTCTCTTAGATAGGGTTCTTGTTTTTATTAAGGGGCCTTTGGACCTTGCTGTTCCTTCTCCTCCTTCTCCTCATTCTCTTCTCATTTCCATTCTCGTATCAGTCAGATACTCATACTCTGCTCGCTCACACCCGCCACGGGGTCCATCACAAATCTACTCTTCTGTACGGGATCCATCACAGCTTCACTCCTCCTCAGCCACATTACTTCCTCGTTCTGACTAACTCAGACTCGGAATCATTCAAGCTCAGTCGCATCACTTCCCCACTCAGACGCACTCAGACTCACAATTATATTCACACACAGAGATCGTGAGGACGTCTCAGGCGAGGCGCTGGTTTCAGCACTCACAGAGGGGGAGGGGGGCGATTCGCGCCCAGATTATGGGGATGCCTCAGGTGGCTTGCTTGTTTCTGCTTCCCCACATCTTCTGGTTCCGGACCAGATTGTGAGGATGTATCAGGCGAGGCGCTGGTTTCAGCACTCCCAAGTGGGGGGCGTCAGGAGTGGGGACACTCCAAACTTGCGCCCAGATTGTGGGGATGTTTTAGGCGGTGTGCTTGTTTTTGCCTCCCAACATCCTTTGCTATTGGAGCAGATTGTGAGGATGTCTCAGGCGGTGCGCTGGTTTAAGCAATCACCAAGGGGAGCTGTCATGTGGCTATCTCGCGGGCCCGTTCGCGCCCAGATTGTGGGCATAGCTCAGGCGGTTTGCTCGGCCCCCAGACTTCCTTCTTCGTGTGGTGGTCCACTGCTATCCGCGATATGGCAGGCGTGGCATTTGGGCACCCCAAGGTGGGGCGCCAGGGGTGGGGACACTCCAAAGCTCGCGCCCAGAGTGTGGGGATGCCTGAGGCGTTTGCTTGTGTCGCCCCCCGGTCCAATACCCACCGCGATATAGCAAGCGTGGAATGAGCACACTTTATTTGTCGCGCCCAGATTGTGGGATGTCTCGAGCGGTTTGTCTGTTTGGTGGCTTGGAGCTGTACGCTTCCGGAGCACATGGTGAGGATGTCTTGGGCGAGGCGCTGCTTTCATAGCAAAGCGTGAGGATGTGCGAGGCGCTGGCAGGAGGAGGAGGAGGAGGAGGAGGAGGAGGAGGAGGAGGAGGAGGAGGGGAGAGGAGGAGGGGAGGAGGAGGAGGAGGAGGGAGAGAGCAGGAGGAGGAGGAGGAGGAGGAGGAGGAGGGAGGAGGAGGAGGAGGAGGAGGGGGAGGAGGAGGAGGAGGAGGAGGAGGAGGAGGAGGAGGAGGAGAGGAGGAGGAGGAGGAGGAGGAGGAGGAGAGGAGGAGGAGGGAGGAGGAGGAGGAGGAGGGAGGGAGGAGGAGGAGGAGGAGGAGGAGAGGAGGAGAGAGGAGGAGGAGGAGGAGGAGGAGGAGGAGGAGGAGGAGGAGGAGGAGGAGGAGAGGGAGGAGCATAGAGGAGCAGGGATGAGCATAGAAGAGAGAGAGAGAGAGAGGAATAAACCCACGACTCATCAACGATATTGCAATACCCCTTCATCCAAGTTCCCTCTTAATATGCCCCTACACTGAGGGAGGTGCCCCGTTGGAAGACAACCGTCTGAAAATCCAGAATTGTGCCTGACGCCGCGAATCACCGTCACTGATGCGTTGCGACGATCCTTAGCCGTGCTAGTACACCACCCGTGGGACTTCAACACAGCGATTCAACGAGACTTTTGCGCCCTGGCAATCCGAAATCGTGCCAGCACACCTTTCCGGGGACGTCAACCATGATGACCTCTGAAACCGTAGTGAATTGTTCAGACGAATGTGTGCGGCGCTAAGGCGAGAACAACATTGTGAAAAGGAGCCGCCCTCCATCCTTCGAGATCATGCAAACTGTTGCAGACGAGTGTGCGCGGCGCAGAGGCGAGTGCCACACTTTGGAAACGAGCCGCCCTCCCTCCGTGAAGCTTTTGCAGTTTCTTAAGACGAGTGTGCGCGGCGCTAAGGCGAGAGCCACATGCTGAATGTGGAGCGCCCTCCATCCGTGAAGCTGTTGCAACTCCTGAGCTTCAGGATCTTAAATGGTGAGGAGGTCTCAGGCGAAACGCCCAGCCCGCCCTTTCGACCGGCCTCGGGGTGCGACAGGAGGGAGTTACTTATGAGGAAGAGGGATGGAGGAGGAGGGGGGGGAGGAGGAGGAGGAGGAGGAGGAGGAGGAGGAGGAGGAGGAGGAGGAGGAGGAGGAGGAGGAGGAGGAGGAGGAACACGGAAGAGGACGGGGGATGATGACAGAACAGGAGGAGGGAGGGAACTGAGGATGTGCGATTAGGCAGATGGTATAGCTGTCTTGAGCGAGGCGCTTGTTTCAGCACCCCCATGGGGAGCCGCCAGAGGGGTTTTACTTAGACGCCTCAGCCTCACCTTCTTCCTCATTCGCACACGCACACACTCAGACACACTCACACGCAGACTCACCCACATTCAGACTCACTCGTACTCAGACTCTCTCACACTAAGATTCACACTCAGGCTCACTCATACTCAAACTCACTCACACTCAGACCCACCATGCCGATGTTCGCTCAAATCCAGACCTCACTCACACTCATATTCAGTCAGGCTCAGACTCACTCAGAATCAGACACACTCCTAGTCAGACTCGATTCCACTCAGACTTACGCACACTCATACGTACTCACACTCAGACACACTCACGTTCAGACCCGCTCAAACTCAGGCTCACTCGCATTCATATTCGCTCACATCCAGACTCACTCACACTCAGACTTGCGACTTACCTGCACTTAGAGAACTGCAGAGTGCGGGGATGCCTCGAGCGAACGACTCGCTCTCACACGTATTCTCATTGATCAGTACTGACAGAAAGACGTGCCAGGGACGTGATATGCACATATGGGGATCTCCGCGTCGGGCAATCTGTTGCGCGGGGAGAGGAAGTTTGGGTGTGGCCTCCGCCGGGAGAAGGTGCTCAGAAGACACCACGACGCCTCGACGCTGGTCTTCGTGGCCATGAAGCGCACGGCCGCTTGGCTGGAGGGGCAACTGCATCAGCAGGCAGGGGCGGGGGTGAAGACTGGATCCGGGAGGGTCGGCGGTGGAAGCGAAGGTTGAGGAATAGGAGTTGAGGAGGAGGAGGATCAGGAGGCAAAGCTTCTCCTCCCCCTCCCCCTCTCCCTTCTCCTCCCTCTCCTCCTCCTCCTTCTCCTCCTCCTCCTCCTCCTCCGTAGCCATTTTGGCTCAAGCCAGCCTCGGGCGCGCGCGGGCGGGCTCGAGAAAATGGCACGGGCGGAGTCGCCGCGCGGCGATTCCAAGGCGGGGCAGCGGCGCTCGCGCGCGGAGCGCTCCGCTGCCAGGCGGCGTGCACTGGCTGCTGTGGACCGCGGGCTCGGTGCGGCGCTGGCGGACGCAGCTCGGCTGCGTTCGGAGCTGGCGGAGGCCCGAACGCTGTATTCGGCGTTGCTGGAGGCGGTGGCCGATGGCAAGGTGGGCAGGCGGCTGGCGGCCGTGGCCCCCGCCCTCGCTGACCTCCTGCGCGGGATGCAGCCCACGCCCACGCAGAAGCTGCGCATGGGTGTCGCGCTGCACGCGGCGGCGGGTGGGCTCGACGTGTCGATCGCCGACGGCCGCCAGCTGCGGCGGCGAGGCGCGGGCCTCGCTTGGGCCCGCAGGTGCACTCGGAAAGCGCCGTGCAGGTGTGCGTGGCGGAGGTCTGCGAGGAGGAGCCAGCGGTGCTTTTACCAGCAGCGGCGCTTTCGCGGCGCGCGCCCCTGCGCTCAACCGCGACGCCGTACATCCCGGGGCCGTCTGGGGCTTGGGGCCAGCCGGCCCGCCTGCCGTCCTGTGTGGATGTCGCCGAGGCGGTGCTGGAAGGGCTCGGCTGTGGGCCCTTGGCCACGACAGACAGGGCTGAGCCTGGCACTCCCCGTGAAAGGGGGCTGGAAGGCAGAAGCGGGCGGTGCTGCAGGCTATGGGAAGCTGCCGCCGCCAGCGCATCCGGAAGGCCATGCTGAACTTCAGCGTGGCGCTGCAGTCGCGGGGGCGGCCTGGTGGAGAGCGCGGGCGCACGTTGCCAGCGCCTGGCTCGGCGCGCCCAACACCGAAGAGGCCCGTGGAGACGCGGGCGCAGGCGAGCAGATGGAGGTGAAGGGCAAACAGGTCGCTAAGGACATCAGCCTTGGGAGCGGCCTCGCATACGTGTCGGGGCCCGAGGCTTTCGAGATGTTCCAGAAACGCAAGAAGTTCGTGAAGGCGATCAGGCACTGGAGGCGGCTCGTGTTCGGGGCCGTCGCGGAGGCCGACATTGCCTTGTGGGACTTCGTCTACAAGGTCGGCGTGGGCGGAGCCTGGGTTTAAACCCAGTCTCAGCCTACGCTCAGGGAGGGATCCTGAGGGGCCCCGCGCGTCAAATCTTTGCATGACCTTTTAGGTCTAGTCTAGCCTCCTCCTCCTCCTCTTCCTCCAGCCGCCGCTCTGGCGCGCAGCGCGCGAGGGGCGGCCGCGGCGCAGGCGGGCGGCGCCACGCGCATCGCGATGGCGCGGCCCGTGGGCCAGTGGATCCTGCGGGTGCTGGTTTACAACCCGATGTTCTGCACGGGCGTTCGCCTCCAAGAGGTCGCCATGTCGTGCAGCGCTATGGACGTGGTGATGCTAGCTGGCACGCAGGCTACGCGCAGGCGGCGCGTGTTGGAGGCCGAGGCGGGCGTGGGCGAGTTCATTAACAAGAGTACAGGCTGTGCCATCGTCTTGGGCCACAAAGTCAAGGAGCAGCACGTGTGCAGGACATGGCCGAGCCCCTCAGGTGCAGAGGGCCGCGCCCTGGCGGCGAGGGTTCGCCGTGGCCCTTTGGATATGGCAGCAATCGTGTTGTATTTCCCGCCGCAGCCTCGGTGCGCTCGTTTGGTCCCTCACTACAAAGAGACGGTCCGCATGCTGACGCAGTGGTACGAGGGGGTCCTACAACAACTACCATGCAGATGTACACCTTTGGTGTACGCGGACCTGAACGATGGCATGGGCATCGGCAGGATCGCGGGCCAGTGGCAGCACGTGGAGTCGCAGTCGATGGGACCAGGGCGAGCTCGAGAGCAACGACGTGGGGGCGCGGGTGAAATGATGAGAATGGTGAACGAGCGCCACAATATGTACATGATGAATTCTCGTAGCCAGACGTTAGCGCACTCGTATTACAACGCGTCTGGACACAACAGTTGCATTGACTACTTTTTCACACCAGATGGCATGATTGATATGGCACATCAGTTTTCCCCCTTATTCAGTTTGGGAGCGGAGCTGCAGGCCTTCAAGGGGGCCCCGCCGAAGGACCACATCCCAGTATACATGGAGCTACACGGCGTGCAGGCGATCTGCACGGCGGGGGCGCTGACGCCAGCACCAGAGCGCATGCAGTGGAATCAGGACGACCTTATGCAGTGTCTACGACGAGGGCATCGTCGAGTTGAGTTTCTTGAGAAGGTGGAAGCGCGCCTGCAGGGGGCGGAAGATACCTGGAGGGCCATGCTGACCGACGGGAGACCAGGCGAAATGTTTCTTCACCTTGAGGACGTGCTGGTAACGATCGGGCAACAGATGTTTGGCCATGTTGTTTCTAACGACCCTGCATATAGGCGAGCAGCGGCAGAACGAACCGAGCTTCTGAAAGAAAGTGCTCGGCTCCGACGGTCTAGACAGGACGTGGAGGAGGATTCCATATAGCTGCACGAGTGCGAGGAGCAGCTGAAGAGGCCCAGTCAGCGCCTACGGCGAGAGCGGCAGCAATTCGATCAGCAACGTCGTACCGCTCTATTGGGTGAGATTGAGGAGGCGTGGCAGGCCCGTCGTCTTGCAGACGCTATGAGGCTATCGAGGCAGGCGGCGCGATGCCGCTTCGGACCGAAGAGACGGGACGGACGGCTACTGCGGGGGGGCTACTTTGCAGAGCAGGAGTTGCTCGGCCACTGGGGCAAGAAGTGCAGGGGCGGGGGCATGTCGGCTCGTAAGATTATCTTTGAGGACTGGCTGAACGAATACCCACCTGGCCCCACCCCCTACATCGCGCCCGGGGACTGCGAGCTGGCTCAGAAGGACCAGTGGAGAATCCAGAAGTACTTCAGGAGTGCCTGTAAGAGACGCATGGTGCCAGCAGGGACCCCGCCAGCCGAGGTGTGGTTGATGTGCGTGGACCCAGAGGCCAACATGGACGCCAAGGGGCACGGGGTAGGTTACGAGCAGGTAGCACCTGAGATGAAGCTGTTTGGGAAGATTCTGGAGGGAGGCCAACGGATAGTTCGGGCTACGAATCGGACCCCGCTCCGGTGGCATATCAGTTCTGGAGCACAACTTCGAAAAAAACGCCAAGCCAGGACCAGTGGGCCGCAGGGCGGTCCATGTGCTGCCGACTGTTGGGGGAGCTTTGTATTCAGGCCTTCTTCGGGTTCCTCCCATGGTCACGGAGCGCGGCTTTTGCAAAGGCAGACGTCGTGAAGGAGGTATTTTAGTTGCGCAGCTTTTCTGCTGGCGCCTTCGACGCGCTGGACGTTCGTTCGCGTTTACATGTAAAGAAATGTCCAACGCTTTCGCCAGCGGGGACTGGGGGGAACTGGACCAGGCGGTAGAGCTCCACGCAGAACCTCAGGATGTAGTTTTGTGTGTTCAACGCTTTCGATGCAGTGTGATCTGGCTAGAGACCATGGAGGGGGGATGTACTTCAAGACGGTGGAAGGAGTAACGATGGGAGACCCGTTTGCCGTGGAGCTCTTTCGGGGAACCTTTGCTCGACCCATCCTGCAGTGGCTTCGTCGTCTTAGAGATTTGGACAAGCCTGCTGCTGGGCTGGTTGCTAGCTGGAGAGATTTACGTGCGGACGTCGGTGGCTGCCTTTACGCCGACGATATCTTTCGAGCTCGCGTGGCCCAACCTCACGTTACCCTGGGCATTTTTTTTTTTTTTTTTTTGTGTGTGTGTGTGTTTCGGGTCCTGAGGCAAGCTGGCTGACGTGGCCCTTTCGGAGGAGTTGGATGCTATTGGGTACGCACAAAACATCGGGAAGCAGGAGGTTCAGCTTTGCTTTCAGGGACCTGGGGCCTTATAGTGTCAATTGTGGGCGAGGGGTCAGGGTCGAAAACAACTTGCAGGAGATCTTCAGGAGCATGTCAGGTACCTGGGCCCCAAACTTAATATGCTGTTATCTTCTTCAGTGGGGGTTAGACGCAGAATTCAAGCTTCCGCTGAGTCGTACTATGCTCTGGGCCAGCTATGGTCCCTGGAGCTGCCGTTCTGCTGGAAGCGGACCATGTTTCTGAGTTTCGTGCAGAATGTGGCGCTCACTGGTTTAGAACCAATGCTGCTCGCCAATCGTCAATATCGTGAACTCGACTCGCTTCTGGCTCGCTATGGGGGGAGGGCATTGCAAGGGAAGGCGACGACGAAGGTGGACGGGAAGATTCGGTCGTGGTCGAACAAGAGAGTGATGCAGCATTGGCGCCTCGCTAGTTCTGAAACGGAGTTGCTCGTCAGGCGCCTGGGGTGGTATCGTACTTGGGCCCTTTCCCCGAAGAACCACCGCCAGGAGCTTTGCTTGTTGTTCGGGACCCTGGGCCTGGACGTGGGGGGGCAACCGTTGCGCGACAACACAGTCACCCCCAAAGTGGCATCTCCGTGGCTTCTTCGTCTGCAGACTGACTTTCGGCGTGCAGCAGATGCGCTTGACGAGGGCGACCTTTGTGCCCATTTTGCCCGCTGTCCAGGCGATATAGTGAACGATGATTATCGTGAGTTCTGGACTCGCGTGGATTTTACGGAGATTCGTGCACGCGAGCTGGCAAAGGCGATCCCTCCTTCGGGCCCCTACACGACAGAAGTGCAGGAGACCCCAGGAGTACCTCTGGAGTTCCCTTGGGAGCGTGCATGGGTTTCGGGGGCGGGGGCGGTATGTGGGCAAGGGTTCCAGACCAAGAGGGACCTCGTGAGCCATATGCGCCAAATACATCAAGTGCACAATCTAGCTGCCACGCTGACCCCTACAAACACATGCGTAGTATGTAGACGGGTATCCGCTA